AACCCACCCGCTCGCAAGCCCGTCCATCGTGTCCGTTACCTGTGCCTATTGTCTGTCTTATGCCTTTTTGGCTCCAAATCTGATATCTATCTGTACTTCCACCCGTAAAAAATATTTCGATTTATTTTCTACCATCTCTGAAAGGGAAAAAAGATGAAAGTTTTCCTCCGCCATCTCGGAGCCCCACACGCGCAAGAATTTCGGCCCAGTATTGCATTAAAGTTTGACACGCTCCGTCCGTCCGTCCGACTCGCTGGTGGTCTGTTTTCCTCTCTCTCGTACTACTGTCGCCGTGGGGCCGCTTTGGTGTGTGCGCTAACCATGGGCAAGGGCATCATGGGCGAGAGTCTCTATGCCTGCATGGAGCCGGGCTGTGAGTGCGTCAACTTTGAGTGCGTTGTTGCCACCTGGACTGACGAGGAGCGTGCGATGCGAATCGTCCACCACCCGCGAAACTCTCCGTGGTACCTGCAGTGCTCGTGCGGCCATCACCAGCTCCGCCACTTTAAAGACCCCGCGTCGCGAGCAGTTTGCGTCACCGTGCCTCTGGCTACTCTCTCCGAGCTGTTTCGCGAATACGCTCCGGCACAGGTCGGCTGGCTGGAGGCGATGGAGGGACTTGGCTGCTCTCTGGGCGCGCTGGCCGGGATCGATAGGCCTGACCTGCTCAACCGCCTGAGAGCGGCGGGCGTGGCTCTTGCAGACCGGCAGGCGATCGCGACGGCAGTGGGGCGAGCGCGCACGGCAGGGCGAATCAGCTTGGCGAATCATCGCGTTGATTCGAGTTGAGCGGTCTTTCTCTTTCTTTGCGGTGAGGAGCGACTGGGAAGGTGGCAAAAACAGGGAGAATTTGTTTCTTTTTAGTGCTGGCGGGAAGTTTTGACCGCGCAAGATAAAGGGTGGCTAAGGGCTCTGCCCGCAAGGCGCCCGCCCGCTAACCGCGCAAGATAAAGGGTGGCTAAGGCGTTGGGCTTTACGAGAGTTTCCTCTCGCACCCTGCCTGGTTTCCTTTCCGTTTTTCCTGCTAGTTTCCCTACAGCACCCTCTAGTTTCCGTGTAGATCCTCGCCGCCGTGTCCACGCGCAGCCGCTTCCGCCGCGCTGTCTTAGACTCCGCGGGCTGCGGCAGCAGGTAATTCGGGCCATACTCCGCCACGCCCGCGAGGACCTCCGGACCTCGGCCGCGCTCACCGTCTCGACCGCGGCCTCGACCGGGGGATTGGCCAAACCAGTAACCACAGGTTTCGCTCCGGGCCACCGCAAATTTTGATCAGCAAATTTCGAGGGTCGGCCGCAAATTTTGAGGTAGATTTTGATTGTCAAAACACGTCCGTCTCGCAGCAGGATAGAGCAATAGGCGGGGCGAACACCCACACACGACATCCCACCACTCACGACTGGGGACGCGTTGGGGGGAGCTCGACCCGTCGTTCGACCCGTTCCGTGACCTCCCGCGCCAGCCGCTCGCCAGCGAGGGGTCCCTGATGCGCCGCCCGTCGGTCGACGCCCTCGCCCCGGCGCTCCCCAACGACGCCGTCGCTGTCCTCGCCGACGTGACCGTGATCCGAGGCCGCCCATCCGCCATTGGATGCAGCCGAGATGCAAAATCCGTTTTATATCAACCGAGCTGCCCCCCCCCCCCCGGACACGTCCCTCCCTGTCCTCTCCACTCGTTCCTCTACTTGTACATACCATACCGCTTTTGCAGCTGTGTCATGATGTTGATGATAGATAGACATAGAAATCATGAACCATCGAAAGGTCTGGTCTCCAAAAAGAACTCTCCGCGCCCGCCGCGCGCCCGCCCCGCCCCTCTTTTGCGCAGCAACACCTTAAAGCTAAATGCTTGTTTCATGGCCCTCAAAAAAATCGGGTCGGAGCGCACAGCGGAGTGGGCCCCGGTTTAACAAAGGCGACGGACGCTTGCTTGCGTCCTAGCCTCCAACAACGCCTCCCCGGCGCAGAGGGGCCCCCGGAGGGATGCTCAACCGCTCCACGCCACGCCGCTTGCGGCGAAAGAAAGAAAGAAAAAAGACAACAAGGGAGGAATGGGAGAACTGCGGCGGTCCTATTCCCAGCGTGCGAAAGTCTTATTTTTTGAGCTAGACTTCGTTGTTAATAGTGTCCGAACCACCGCGTGTCCCGGTCCACCGTGTCCCTCCCTCCATTCACACTCTCCCAGTCCTTTCTGGTCCAGTGCCCGTCTTCTCCGCCCGCCGTCGGGCCGGATTCCCTCCTTCGTCCTTTAGACGTTTCATGTAGAGCAAGCACGCCTGCCCGTCAGTCGGGTGGGGCTTGCACGTGGCAGCGACTCGACTGGTCGCGCCAGCCCTTTGTGGCCCAACACGCTATCCCACGTCAGATCATGCCTGACACGCCCATATTCCGTTCCGAGTCCTACTCGCACTCTGGCACTTCACCGCTTACCGTCCAGCGCTATTCGCATCAAGACTGGCTGTGGTCTACGACGTCCGCCTGCGGCGTTACCACCGGTGATGTTGCCGCCAGGGGGCCTGCCGCCGGCTGCCCACTTCCTGGCCCTGGGAGCGCCCCCTGGGGTGACCATCATGGCACTCCGCTTGCGCTTCCCGCTACCAGCCACATTTGTGCACCAGCTGGCATCGCTGGTGAGCTTGACGGCGTCTTCATCGCCGTCACCTCCATCGACAGCCGGGAGCTCATTGGCTTCGCCTACTGCGCCGAGTCACCTTGCCTCGCCGTCTTTCTTTGCGGCCCTACTTGCAGCATCTCGCTCCCCGCCAGCATCATTTGCCTCCGCACCTGCATCTCCACCGGCGCCGCCTCCACCGTCTGGGGCAGCGCCCATGCTCTCACTGCGACTGCAGCGTCAGTCAACGCCTCCTCGCATGTTGGCTACGTCTTCACCGTCGGAGGCGTCCTACTCGGCCCCCCGCCTCCCGTCACCAGTTACTGTACACCAGTCACAGTCATCGACGCGCCTGGTGGGGGCCTTCACGGCAGCTCCAGCGCTGTCGGCCTTGCCGGGACCTTCGGCTGCTTCGCCGTCGCTCGTGTCGACGGCCGCTTTGCCGTCGCTCGACTCGACAGCCTCGCCGGCGGCTCCAGCGCTGTCGGCCACTTCGCCGATGGCTCCGCTGTCGACTGTCTCGCCGTCGCTCGACTCGATGGCTGCTTCGCTGTCGTTCGTGTCAACGGCTGCTTCACCATCGAGTTACTCGACGGCCTTGCCAGCGGCTCCGGCGCTGTTGGCTCTTTCGCCGACGGCTCCTCTGCTGTCGGCTCAGCCACTGAGCAATATCGTGCTCGGCGTGTCGGAAGGCGGCCTGACGCATCCTGTACCCTTGGCCTGGACTGGGCCAATGGGGACTGCGATCGGGGCTTTGAACGCTTCACAACACCGCCAGCATGTGTAGCCCTCAATGGCTGCTCCGCCGTCGCTAGTTTCGGCGGCTCCCTCGCCGAAACCCTCGGCTGCTTCGCCGAGACAATCGGCTGCTTCGCCGTCGCTCAGGTCGACGGCCACTTTGCCGTCGCTCGGCTCGATGGCCTCGCCGCCGGCTCCGGCGCTGTCGGCCTCGCCGGGACCCTCGGCCGCGCCGTCGCTCAGGTCGACGGCCGCTTTGCCGTCGTCGCTCGGGTCGATGGCCGCTCTACCGAGGCCGAGACCTTCGGCTGCTTCGTCGTCGCTCAGGTTGACGGCCGCTTTGCCGTCGTCGCTCAGATCGACGGCCGCTTTGCCGTCGCTCGACTCGATGGCCTCGCTGCCAGCTCCAGCGCTGTCGGCCTCGCCGAAACCCTCGGCTGCTTCGCCGAGACAATCGGCTGCTTCGCCGTCGCTCAGGTCGACGGCCACTTTGCCGTCGCTCGACTCGATGGCCTCGCCGCCGGCTCCAGCGCTGTCGGCCTCGCCGGAACCCTCGGCTGCTTCGCCGAGACAATCGGCTGCTCCGCCGTCGCTCAGGTCGACGGCCGCTTTGCCGTCGCTCAACTCGACGGCCTCGCCGCCGGCTCCAGCGCTGGCCGTCTCGCCGTCGCTCGACTTGCCGACGGCTCTCTCGCCGTCGCTCAGCTCAGCGACGGCCTCGCCGATGGCCTCTCCGTCGGCTGCTTCGCCGACTCCGCTGTCGGCTGCTTCGCCGACTCCGCTGTCGGCTCTCTCGCCGTCGCTCGACTTGCCGATGGCACTCTCGCCGTCGCTCGGCTCAGCGACGGCCTCGCCGATGGCCCTCTCGCCGTCGCTCGGCTCAGCGACGGCCTCGCCGATGGCCTCGCCGTCGATTGCTTCGCCGACTCAGCTGTCGGCCGTCTCGCCGAAGGCAGTGCCGTCCCTCTCGCCGTCGCTCCTTTCGGCGGCCATTGCGCTGACGACTCCGTAGCTGCCGCCGCTCGACTCCACTACGGCGCCGATGACGCCATCGGCCTCTCTGCCGCCGCTCCACTCAACGGTGGCGCCGATAGCACCAGCGGCCTCGGCCTCTCTGCCGAAGCTCGTGTCGACGACCTCGCCTGTAGCCTCTACAGCGTCGTCGGCTCTCTCGTCGTCACCTACATCGGTGGCATCAGCGCTGCCAGCTTCTGCACCGTCGCCTGCATCGACAGCATCGCCGACGGCCCCTGCAACGCTGTCCGCTACTTCATTCGTGGCTTAGTAGAGCAGCCACAGTCTCTCTACTCTGAGGGACACTTTCCTCTCGTCGATCGGGAGTTACTCGACTACGTCGAGGGGGGGGATGTCCGAACCACCGCGTGTCCCGGTCCACCGTGTCCCTCCCTCCATTCACACTCTCCCAGTCCTTTCTGGTCCAGTGCCCGTCTTCTCCGCCCGCCGTCGGGCCGGATTCCCTCCTTCGTCCTTTAGACGTTTCATGTAGAGCAAGCACGCCTGCCCGTCAGTCGGGTGGGGCTTGCACGAATAGGAACAAGCGAAGGCACACACGACATGGCCTCAAACACAAGCTCCGGTCTTATTTTTTCCGCTGCGACTTGGCCGTGTGGCGCTTCGCGTGTGCACAAACATCTGCACATATACACACACATATGGCGCTGCCCGCTCTCGAGGCCGGGCACGACGCGTGCCGCCGCATGTTTCGCGCCTTGAGCGCCGGCGAGGACCTGTCGCAGATCGTCCAGGACTTCATCGAGGCTGAGGGCAACCTCCAGGTCCACCTTGCAGAGCTCCACGAGGCCATGCCAGGCGAGGTGCCGCCGCACCGACGCGCCGCCGCTGCGGCCGCGGAGCTAACCGCCGACCTGCAACGTGCCGAGCTGGCGCTGCTCGCGGCGGAGGCGCTGGCTGATGCGGAGCTGCGCCGGCCGTCGGCGGAGGTGCCGGCCGCCGCGGTGTTGAACCTGGCGTCTCATCTCGGACCGTCCGCCGCGCCGCCTCGTTCTCAGCACGCCTTCACTGCGGCCGCGGCGGAGGGCTTCCGGCACGGCTGGGGACTGCCCGCGCCACCGCAACACCTTCGCTCTATGCGAGACGGACAGACAGGCTAGAGCAGGGTTGTCTCAGTGCGCCTTTCACTGTCCGCTACGGTCGGCCACCTAGTTCTACTGCTCTCCGCCTTCTATCGCCCCCCTACCGGAGGAATCGCCCACAGCCACAGGCTCCCGTCCGCACAGCCGCTCGGGAGAGTCTCGCGTCCGTCCAGCGCGAGGCAGCGCACCTACATTCGTACTACACTTCGCTCACAACCATCTGCCTCCGTAGCGGCCGATTTAGTATCCATTTCCCCCACAAACATACGATACGATACCGACGGTCGAGTTTGTTTTAACGCTCCCAGCCACCCAGCCGTGCTCACCGAGCACGTCAGCGCCCGCCGCTGCGCGCCGCCGCGCCGACGACGCGACGTGCCGACAAACTCCTGAGAAGGCAGGCATCATCCATCAAATGTCGAGGACGGAGAGCATATAGCTAGAAAATCGTACCAAACTCTGTACGGCTTTAATGTTTAAAAAGGAGCTTGCGTTGCCCGGGTGTACGGCTTTAAACCGGCTATACATAGATGTGCGTGCCGTCGGTAGAGCCACAGTCAGAGTCTCGGCCTCGACGGACGACGCCGACACCGCGATCGCGGTTCGCGCACGCAACACACCAGACACCACCTACAAGCTACACGGCGCATCAAACCCACAGCAAACCCCCACCGGGTACAGTACACACGATCGCGGTGCCCTCGTTCTCTTGGCGCGTCACTTCTTCTTGCCGAACATGTTGTCAAGCGGGTTCACGGTGGTCGGGTTGAGCTGCAGCGACTTGGGCGCCGCGGCGGCTGCGCCCTGCGGCTGCGCTTGGCCCATGCCCGCGTGCTGCTGCGGGTACATGCGCTGCCCGTACATCTGCTGCTGCCCGTACATCTGCTGCTGCCCATACATCTGCTGCTGCCCGTACATCTGCGCAGCGTACATCTGCGGCTGGGCTGCGTACATCTGCCCCGCCATGCCGCCGGGATACCCACCGTAGCCGTGGTGGTGGTACTGCTGCTGCTGCTGCTGCTGCTGCTGCTGCTGCTGCTGCTGCTGCTGCTGCTGCTGCTGCTGCGGGTAGTACTGCTGCTGCGGCGCCTGCGGCATCGCTGCAGCCTGCGGCATCGCTGCAGCCTGCGGGTAGTAGCTGCTGGCTCCTGCGCCGTACGAGTGGCCGTGTTGCGGCATCGGCTGTTGGGTCGTCGCCCACTGCTGCTGCTGCGGCGGCGGCGGCGGCGGCGGCGACGGTTGCGGCGGGGCAGCGGCAGGCGTAAAGCCCGAGGCCTCGGTTGGCGCGGGTGTAAAGCTGGACGCGTCGCCAAAGCTGCTGGAGCTGAAGCTTGCGGGCTCAGCGAGCGCAGGTGAGAAAGTGGAAGGGTCACCAAAGCCGCCGGAGGGGCGATCGGCTGGCGGCGGCACGGCGGCGGGCGGGAAGGCGGCCTCGGTGGGCGCGGGGGCAAAGCTCGTCCCGAAGCCGGACACGCTGTTGTCGAAGCCAGGCCCGCTGTTGGTGAAGCCGGCCGCGCCGCTGTCGAAGCCGGCCGCGCCAAAGCCTGTCCCGGCCCCGGCCCCACCAGCCGCAGCAGCGGGGGGTGCCGTGCTGTCGGCGAGCCAGCCGTCCACCACGACAATGCTCTCCGCAACCGGCGCCGCCGCACCCATCACCTGCGCCGCCGTGTCGCTCGACGCAGCGCCCGTCATCGGCGCCACAAGCGCAGCCTCGCTGTCACCGGGCAGCTCGAGCGCGGTGGCAAAACCGGCGCTTGCCGCAACGACGGGCGCCGCGTCGACGGCGCCGCCGAAGAGGCCCGGCGCGAGGGCTGCGCCGGTGTCGGCTGATGCGCCTTCCAGCGCCACAATCTCCTCAGCCGGAGGTGGCGACAGCACCGCTCCATCCCCCGGCGGCGTTGCTGCGCTCTCGCCTCCACCCTCATCCTTCGCCACGCCGGCGGTCAGCTCGGCCGCTCCCGCTGCTGCTCCGGAGAGCGCGCTTCGGGCGGTGGCAGCAAACGAAGCGAACGGGTCCGCGGAGGCCTTGGCGACCCCCATTGGGGCGATGTCGCTCGCACCCATTGGGGCGATGTCGCTCGCACCCATCACCTGCGCCGCCGTGTCGCTCGACGCAGCGCCCGTCATCGGCGCCACAAGCGCCGCCTCGCTGTCACCGGGCAGCTCGAGCGCGGCGGCAAGACCGGCGCTTGCCGCAACGACGGGCGCCGCGTCGACGGCGCCGCCGAAGAGGCCCGGCGCGAGGGCTGCGCCGGTGTCGGCTGCTGGCGCGGAGCCGCTGCTTGCGAGGCCAGGCTCTAGCCCGACGCCTGCCGTGCCCTCTTCGTCGGCGGTGATTTCGTTTTCGGTGATCTCGGGCTCCAGTGCGACTGTGGACCACGCCCCGTCGTCTCCCTGCCGGACTCGCGTCGACGGCGGGAAGTAGCCGAGGCGGTGCCAGGCACGCATGTGCGCGAGCGAGAAGGGCCCCTGCACGGCGCCGCCCTGGTCCTCGAAGTGCCACCTACCGGCCTCGTCCACCACAGGAGCGGCCGAAGCCTCGCCAGCCGCTTCGCCCGGCGCCTCTGCGGCCGCGATCTCCGCGTCGCTCGCGACGACGAGCTTCTCGCGGACGGTGTTGCGCTCGGAGCCGTTTGGCATGCGGATGGAGTAGTAGGGAGGAGGGTCGTCGTAGTACACCTTGAGCACCTCGACCAAGAGCCTGCTGCCGTCCTGCGAAGAGGTGTACCAGCACCTCGTCCCCACGGCGAGAGCGCCCTCGGCAACCGCGGTGCCCGCTGCGGGAGGCTCCGCAAATAGATCAGCCGACAGCACGCCAAAGCTGTCCTTGGCGCCACAGCCCGTCTCGGCCTCGCGGACCCGCTCCTCGCTGCCACCCGCAGCCGCGAAGCTGTCGCCCAGCGCGGAGGGCGCGAAGGTGTCGGAGGGCGCGAACGTGTCGGAAGGCTCGAAGGTGTTCGCGGCAGGCGCTGCAGGCGCGAAGCTGCTGTCCGCCGGCGCGGAGGGAAAGCTGTCGCCCAGCGCAGAGGGCGCGAAGGTGTCGGAGGGCGCGAAGGTGTCGGAAGGCTCGAAGGTGTTCGCGGCAGGCGCTGCAGGCGCGAAGCTGCTGTCCGCCGGCGCGGAGGGAAAGCTGTCGCCCAGCGCGGAGGGCGCGAAGGTGTCGGAGGGCGCGAAGGTGTCGGAAGGCTCGAAGGTGTTCGCGGCAGGCGCTGCAGGCGCGAAGCTGCTGTCCGCCGGCGCGGAGGGAAAGCTGTCGCCCAGCGCGGAGGGCGCGAAGGTGTCGGAGGGCGCGAAGGTGTCGGAAGGCTCGAAGGTGTTCGCGGCAGGCGCTGCAGGCGCGAAGCTGCTGTCCGCCGGCGCGGAGGGAAAGCTGTCGCCCAGCGCAGAGGGCGCGGCTAGCGCGGCTGGCCCGAAGCTATCGGGGGGCGCGGAGGGCGCGAAGACATCGTTGGGTCCGGTGGGTGTAAAACCGTCCTTCGCAAGGTCGTCACTGGCTGCGAAGCCCCCGCCGAAAGAGCCTGCCTGCAAGGGCAACCCGAACGGCTTCGAGTTGGCCGCCGCCAGAGACTCCTCGGCGGGTGCGGGTGGGAAGGCCAGGGAGTCGCCAAAGCTCGCTGGGAGGCTCGAAGCGCCCTCTTCAGCAGGCCCGTCAAATCTAGGCGCGTCAAACGAAGCGGAGAAGCTGCTCGCCGCTGCAGGAGGCGCGGAAGTCACAAATGCGTCCGCGGCGAAGGTCGGCATGATGCTGCCGCCGTCGAAAGTCGCGGCAGCGGGCGCGAAAGCTGGAGCAACGGCGCCCAGAGGACTGGCGGCCTGCCGCGCGAGGATGAGCTCGATCACTACTGCCTTCGGGTCGTCAGCGTCGTCGGCGTCCTCGATTTGCTCCTCGGAGACGCCCTCGCTTCTGGCGCGAGCCTTGAGCGCCTTCAGCTTGAGCCCCTTCAGCTCTTCGCCAAGCGACTCCGAGGAAGTGCCCGCTCCGCTCGAACCGCCTTGGGGTGCGGTCACGGCTGCGGTCGGAGCGAGGGAAACGAACCCGCCTCCGCTGGCCAAATCACCCAGATCCGAAGTGGCGAGCGGGTCGGCTGGAACCGACACATCGACACTGCTGGCCATGTCGGCGGACGCCATGACGCAAGCCGGCGCAGGTGCGAACGCTCCTCCAAAGAGGTCGAGCGAAGAGGAATCCATCGCGCCGACGGCGGGCGGAGGAAAGGACGCCGGGGGAAACGCCGCAACGCCGGCGAATCCGCTGTCGCTAGACGGCGGGTCCTGCCTTGCTTCAGCTTGATCAAACGACGGCGGCGGCGGCGGCGGCGGC